TGACTGGGTTGTAATATGTGTTGGCCCTTAATAATTCACTCATGTATATTGACACTCTTTAGTTAAAGTATCAATGTTTTCATTTGTGTCAGTATTAAATGCTTCAGATGTTCCAAAATAAGAACTTACAAGTATTTTTCCTAGTAAGTTTGTAAGTAAAGTTCTTCCAACCTGGAGTAAAAGAAGTCATGAATGCTCCAAATTTGGGATCTATAATATGCCTAATATTTTTTTATGCTCCTTCACATTTGTATTTACATCTATACCACCCTGCTACTTCCAATAGTCATATTCGATTGCTATATGCTCTGCTCTACCATAGACCACATCATTACAAACATTGAAATGTATAAAAACTCTTCTCATAATATTGATTTTCATCTCTCTTATCACACTGCACAAATCATTGAAATAATCAATTGTCCAATTAGCCTTGCACTACCTAAATACTCATTCACACGTGACACAATTGATACTAAACTACATTTGTTAAATAAATGTCTCCTAAAAGAGGAATGGACTTAAATCCACAATAGTAGCGATATCAATGAGAAATGGAACTTATTTCTGAGTACATTAAATCATCACTTGAATATTGTATGTCCCATTATTAGGAGGCAAATTAATATAGCAAAAAAACTCAAAATTAAACTTCCGAATGAAATTCTTGTTCTTAGAAATAAAATAAAAAATATGTATGACCTGTTCAGAGATACTAAGAAATTGTTTTATAATAAAAAATATAAACAGTATAAAAAACAATATAGGGTAAAACAAATGAATGAGAAAGCTTATCAATTAAATTATAAAGTTAACAACTCAACAAATAAATCTAAAACATTATGGAATACAATTAACAATGGGAAAACTCAGTCTCTCAAAAACATACTCCTACTATATGAAGGCATGTTTCTTGATAATCCTTCTGATATTTGTAGGACCTTTAACTGACATTTCTTAAATTCAAAGCAGGGCATTCTAACCAATAATACTATTAATTCCTTATCTTCTGCAACTTTAGAATCCATGTTTCTCCATTACACAAATGCTACTGAAGTTAATCACCTGATAAATTCCTTCAAAAATAGTTGCTCAACCGGGAATGATGAAATATCTTAATTCTCAAAAAGTGTAAGCCTGCTCTTCTTAATATATTAGTTTACTTAATAAATTCATCTCTAACTGCATTCACTTTCCCAGAATCCCTAAAAATTAGTAATGTAAGACCACTTGCTAAGAATAATAATACACAAGATGTTGGGATATTACTGACGGCTATCATCTACCTTCAGTACTTTGGCAACTTCTATGAAAAAGTATATTAGCAAAGACTTAATTGTTTTTCTATGAATCTAATAATATCCTAATAAAGAAAAATGGCTCCAGGCAAGGGCTCTCCACCACCACTGGCGTTATTGTAGGAGTGAGACGTTACATAAAAATTGAAATTTGGAATTCAATAGAAAAACAGCAGGATTTGATTCATTGCAATCTTTCAAAGGCATTTGATAATGTATCTCATGAGAAACTGTTGGCAAAACTTGATTATTATGGAATAAGGGGTAGAGTCAATGACCTCATTATATCATACCTCACAGGACGTAAACAATGTACAGAGATCTTCTGGCAATCTGAAAATTTCTTATCCAAAGTTTAATCAAATGTTAATACAATTACATCTGGTGTTCCGCAAGGATAGGTGCTTGGACCTTTGCTATTTCTATTATATTTTAATGACATTCCAAGCTCATCTGTTTTCTTTGTAATTTCTTATGCAGATGAAACAACATTAATATGTAGTGAGCAAAATCTTTGTCATCTAGAAGCTAATTGAACTGAATCATTAAAATCAATTATAAGTTATTTGTCTATAAATGAATTGAAATTCAATGTTGATAAAACTGTATTAATCAACTCCAAGTTTCATAGGTCACCAACACCAAAAAACATAGAAGTAGAATAGACTATTGAATCAGTGAACCAAACTGTAAATTGTCATAAGTTCTTCTTTGTAATAAAATAAACTCTAATATAGTCCTCTTGAGATACTTTTCCATATACCTGGAAATTGATGCACTTATTTCAGTATATTAAGGGACAATCTTCTCTCAACTTCAACACGACATTGAAATTTGGTGTGGTACAACACAAAAAAATATGGAGACATTAATGGTTCTACAAAAGAAATGTATAAGAAGCATTTTTAAACTGAATCCCAGACAGTCCTGTAAATATTTCTTTATTACATATGAATTACTCACTGTTGTAGCACTCTACTCTTACAAAGTAAAACTCCAATTGACAAATAATCAAAATCAATATTTTGTGAGCAATTAAGAGATACATAACCACCATACTAGAGGACATAGGGACTACAACAGGATATACACTTGCAAGTCTTCAACTAACAAAGATCTTTCTGCATCGCTGCACAGCTCTTTAATAAAATCTCAATTAAAATAAAAACTGCTAATGATAAAAACTTCAAAACACTGCTTAAACATCATCTTATTTGTGTGTGTCCATACAAGATATCTGAATTGTTTTAACTTTCTGTAATTAAAAACCATGTACCACTACAATAGTGACCACTCTTTGTACCTGTCATCATTCAGTCACATAACGCAAAGTACTTTTCAGTAATGTAGTAAATAATGTAATTATATCTCAAAATATTGTAATTAATGTAATTATTATCATTAATCATACATCTAATGTATTCAAGTTATTGTAAGTTAATTAAACTGCTACAGTACGATAAAGGAATTACTTACTCTAATTTTAAGCTATTTGCCACTGTATTATAATCTACTAATTTATTGTTAATGTTATTTGTTATGTGTTAATGAGGCTTTATGTAGTATAAAATGTAATTTACCATAATGTTTATTATGAACAATTGCATTATTATTCATGTAATTCATTGAGTAAACAATTTGCATAATTACTGTAAGGTATGTAATTGTAATTCGTTATAACTTAAATTAATGTAATTGTCTATATTAATCAATTAGGTATATTTTTATCATGTAATTTAGAAACATAATGTAAACTTATTATATTATTACTGAAAGTTAATGAAATTAACTTCCTGTAATTTTAATTAATTTCTATACTGACTTTGTTTGATGCTTTACGTAAGTTTATAAGCAATAAAAAATTATTAATTATTATAATAATAATAATTATTGTTGTTGTTGTTAATAATAATAATAATAATAATAATAATATTATTATTAACTGTACAATAAGCTCTCAGTTAATAGAAAAGCAGCTAATAATAGCCCTTAAAAGCATTACTTAAGTGCCATGTTGTGGCTCTATGCCCATATAAATAAGGTGAGTTGTAATGTATAAGCAATAGTAGTTGGGATTCAATAATATACTTCGTACCATTGCAAGAGTGATTAATATTCACACCCATGTGTTACCTCTCTTGAACTCCAATCATATTAAAAGCATTATTGTTATTAGTTAATATATTCAATATTTTCATTACTCTAATTTTATAAGCTGTTATTATTTTCTTTCCTCTATTTCCAACTGTTGTAATAAGCTAATTTAAATATTTCTGTGCTAATGTAATTTGTTCTTCTAAATGTACATAATGATTCTTATATATTATTGTAATATTCTGTAATTACTACTGTAAGAGAATGTAATAATTTACTATTGGAAGGAATTACACTAGTGTACTAACACTATTATTATAAATGAAGTACTTCATTTACTATTGTTAAAAAATAAACTATGTTGTTGTTTTAAAATTGACCTTGCATGATACTTATATAAATCTGTAAGCAATAATATACAAATACTATTCCTTTAATTCATGACTAAAGATTTTATGAGTTGATTGAATATAAAATTTATTCCCGGTTGCAATTACCTTCCTGAGGAGGAGAGCCTATCAGTGCCTCTACAATACATTGTGCAAAATGTAGGCTGTTGATCTGGGAGTTTGGCCAAGTTATTAAACAAATTTTGTGAAACAAATCTCAGAACTCTTATATCTATTGGGAAGACCTGCGCTTGTATGCTCCACATTCATCTGAACTCAATTTTCAAACTCTTGAATTTAAGATGACACTTGAAGCATGTGTTTGGAATTTCAAAGGCAAAGATCTGTCAGTGGAGGTAACTACACGTCCCATCCTGCCTTTTTAAGTGTTCAGTCTTTGCTCGAATTGAACAAGCTAAGGCGATATGATGAATGTTTTCTTCTTGTTCCTGGCAATTTATTATTATAATTATTATTATTATTATAATTATAATTATTATTATTATTATTATTATTATTATTGTTATTATTGCAACATATCAGCAGTGTGGCTGCAAAGTTCAATGGCATAACATTCAACGTATATTGTTAACACATTGCTGACAAGTGTTAAGCAGTGGAGGCATCTAACAGCTTTCAGGGATTTTCTCTGCACTACAACTGTAAAATTAGATCCATTCTCTTACCTTGGTCTCTCATTCGCCAAGTCACAAAAACTCCTCCAAGAAGTCCATGCACAAACACAACATCCATTTTGGGGCGAGGGCTTCTTCTCCATGTAGGATGTAATAAGTACACACGGCGAGGATACAATGCAGTTCGAACATCATCAGAATCTAAGTTAGCCAAAGCTTTCGTTGCTGGTGCAGAGAGACGAATATTTTGGTTTTGAGACCACTTGGCCAAAATTCCAATCCATCCTGAAGTTGTTAAAAACAATAATTTTCTTCTAGTAAAGTGATCCAACTGCTTTCCTATGGCTACATTTTGAACACATACAAAACTTACCTGAGCGAAAAATGTCTTCCAATAAATCCTTATGAATCGATATATTTGCTAATAAAGATGCCAGTAAAATGGATATCCCTACATTATCTTCACAAAATTTATAAATAGTTGTCATTAGAGCCAAACCACCTTTCTGAGCTATGTCTGAAATAATAGTTCATATATAGACAATTTCAAATATGAAATACCCCAGCATAACTTAAGTACTGCATACCTTTTGCATTGTCCCCAACAGCAGAATGATGTAATAAATTTCTTAAAGTAAGTGGTAAAAGTTCTTCATTTGGAATGGTAGATTCTGGAGAATCAATTGAAGTGATGTCATGATCAAGAATTTTGTGGCGATGCTAAAATAAAAAAAATGTTTAATTGTGGAGTGTTTGAAATATGAGTGATTATTACACAGAAAGAATATGTGAATGTTTACCTGAAATTCAGGAAATGCTTTAGAAAGGAAATATTGAATACAAGGATGTGGTTTTTCTCGAATCAAATCTTGAAGGAGAAGCCGTAAACGGTCAAGTATTTCCTAGTAAGAAAATTTTAACACAAGAAAATGTATAAAATTTCACTCTACAGACAATGGAAGGTGGTCATTTTTATGATCAGAAGTTGTTTTATATTAAATACACACTACGTTTTATGCATTTTTATCAAAATATTACAAAAATTACAATATTTTCACAAAAAATGCAAGACGTTTCTCAACTTACAATTTTGGTCACCTTTTCATGAAAATATGGTGGATTTAAGAAAAATCGAAGATCAACTCCTCTAGTTCTTGCAAGGCCCACAGCAGTTCTCGCATCACATGCTTGTGCTAGCTGTCTGTAGTCAGAATCTGCATAAAACAATTTTAATTACAAAACAGAGGGCATAAGAAATGCAGTAAATATATAAAAATAACAAGAAATTGTTAATTAAAAAATAAAAATATTCTATTTTTAACTCTAATTATCATTCATAAAGTAAAACTCATAAGTAATAATACCTTTTAAATCTTTAATGTCCACTAAAGATCGAACTGCTTCTAATCTGTCTCTCTGATCACCTGTTTGGGCCATGTGTAATAATCGCCATGCCAAAGAGTTTTTCCAAGATACCCACCACTGAAAAACTGATAGCCTTTTAAATATATCTGTCTTCTCATCTTTAAATAAATCTATTTCCTCTGCAAAAAATTGCATCTATATTAAAATTATATGAAACACAATTTCAAGTTTCGTTTTCAAGAATATGGAAACAAAATACACTACCTTTAAATGTAGGATCGTTAATGTAAATATATTCAGCTCGCTTTTTTTCTACTTCAAGAACTTCAGTTTTAAGTATGTGAGTAATAGCATATTTCATTTGGTATATTTGATAACAGGTCCAACCACCACTGCAAGAAAGGAAAACACTTCAGCAAATGAAAAATAAAATAAAAACTCAACAACTAATTTAAAAGAATACTGATGTACCCTGACAATAGAACGATGGCACTGCTAGTCTTTAAGAGTGAAGAGTATTTGAACACCATTAGTTCTACAAATTGACAGAAGTCTATACAACAGATTAAATCAGAATGAATGAACTACAAGTCATTCCACCATCAACCTATAATCACAACATGCCACTAGATTTTATGGGCATTGTCAGTTCAACAGAAAACTGAATTATTTAATAACATCACAGGTTCTCCCACAATGCTTATACATTATTTTTCATTGTCATAGTACTTCACATTTTTGAATGGTGTGTCAACAGCAGAAAACTTTCTTGAAATACAGATTTCTTCTGCCTTCACTCTACCACTTTCAGTCACACAAAATAAGCAAATATAACCTCTCTCATTGATAATACAAATACAGGCCGCTTATATTCAGAAGGTTAGAATGATTTCGGTCCATTGCACAGCTGAATTTTGAACTGTTTCCCTCCCTATCTACATTTCAGTGAATTCAGCATTGATTCACAATGTCGATACGCGATGCAGGAATTAGATAATGTTGATGAGTCCAGAATGAGATAGAGTATTATTCAAAATGATTTCCCATCGGAGAATATCTCTGCATATCAATCATATGATTTATCAATGATATCAATTTAGTTTATTAAAAAAATAATTACTATACTGTAAAAGAATAATTAATTGTCCTGTGCACCGCGTACCCTGCGCTCTAGCGAATTGATTCCTAACTTATTCTGTTTTATAGAAATGATGCATAGAGGTTTCCTTTCGCATCAGGCCGACCATGTATTCTGCAGGCCGGTGAAGACTAGCTGTCAATATTTAGCGGTTTAGTTAGCAAGTCTATGAGAATGATTAAAAAACAGTTGAGTATATAGCAAAAGGCATCGACGCTCCGCGAAATGTATTCTTGCACCAATCAGAAGGGGCCCAAACATTGAGCTGTCGTGGCTCCATTTCATGGCGGCTTCATAGCGAAAAATAATAATGTGCAGAATACAAGATTCGATGTGTAAATCCAGAACCATAGTGTTGAGCTAATTTTGGAAATATACTATTTTCCGTTTCCTTTGTCTCTTCTATCTTCTCATTTTCTTCCTCTTTCTTCTCCTTCATCTTGCACTATTGTTCACAATTTCATGCTTGTAGGCAGTTTCAAAATTCGACCCCAGGTCATTATTTTTTTCCACCAACCTCAAGAACTCAAGCCACCACGATTTTCCCCTCCTTGACCTCCTTCTTCTTCATCGTCTACTTCGTTGTCCTCCGCTACAAAGTAGCATATCCTCCAACTCTATATCCTACCCCGACTCCTTTTTGTTCTCCTTTCCCTTCTCCGGCTTCTTCCTGTCTCCTCTGTATCCTTCAAATTCTTCTGCACCTCTTTCTCCATTTCTTTCTGTCTCCTATTCCGAAACTTTCTCTGTCGTCGTCTTGTCGCCCCATTTTTGTTCGTCTGTTTTTTCTCCTCGTCACTATTCTTCGCAATGTCTGTCTTCTCCTAGTCCATCCTTCCATCTTCCCTATCTCAATCATCTCATTCATAATCATCATCTATTATTATTATTATTATTATTATTATTATTATTATTAATTTATTACTTCTCAAGAAATGTCGGAGCATTCCTGTTCAAGACACAACTTGTCTACCAAAATATGGAGTTGCTACCATGAAGAGCTTCCTCATACAGTGGAATTCTAAACAACTTTTGCGTAGTCTTTTATTAATGATGGTTTTGGTGAAGTCTTTGCTTCCTTAGACCTTCATCCACCACAATCTTACAGTTGACTATACATCCATTGTTCATTCAGGGTGTCAGAATACTTTTCTTCAACTTTGCGTGCATCCTAACTCTGTACTCTTCACATTCTACTTCTACTTTTGTACTTCAGTATTACGCACGTATTACAAAGATATTAATCTCTTTTGACCATTTCGTGCGTTGGCCAATCAGACTTGAAGCGACGGAAGACATTGCAGATGTCTCCATCCTCAAGCAACTTCGTCTAGAAACATTTGGTACTGTGTTCTCTGCGATCGCTATGAGTGGTTCGGTGCCGCTCCTGGCATCTTGATGTGCCACGTCCACCGCTGGCCACTGACACATGTAACGTGTTTGACACAGAAGGCCTCTTTCTGCGCGGTCCTCTAAAAACCGATCGCCCGCGACTCTATTTCTCAATATTCGTCTACTCTTATTGGGTTGTTGCACTTTAAAGGTAAATGCACCGAAAAATACTTGTAGGAAAATTCAATAGATCGCAGCATTATTACAGGGGAATTTACTTTACTGATAAAATCTTATCCAATTGTTGGATTTTCGATCGATAAACGGCATTTGACGCCTTTTTAAAATAGAATTTACGCTACGAAGCCCTTTTTCCAAAACTCTAACAAAAACTCGAATTTGAAATTAATTCTCAAACTTCCGAGAAAAAAATTCAAAAAATGTGGGCTTATAGCGCGGTGGCTACATGCTTCCTGAATCCAACACCGTGGCAATCATGCAAATCGGACGAATAGGAGCGTCGTAATCGTAAGTGAAATTTGCGAAAACACCTCGCCCCCCCCCTCTCCTTCCACGTCGTTGCATCACACAACCGCCCGTTGTATGTCCTCTTTCGGCGCGTTGGCGCGGCCAGCCCCGGCGGAGGAGGCGGGACTTGCGGGACAGGCAAGACAGACAGTCAGTTTATGTTTTCGACACTTTGCATCTCAGTCTATTTTTCCACAGATATCAAACTAGAGCTACTAATAGTAGTACATAACTATCTTTTTCACATATTTCCGTCTTCCTTCGTATATCATCTTAAAATTGTTTGAGGCATTCCTCAAAATATCGATAGCTATTTGTAACTGGTTTTTAAAAAATTGAACTAATTTTGTAAATATCTCCATTATTCCATCTCCTCACATTGTATGTTAGATATATTTTACTTCTAAGCAGTGGCGGCTCTGGGATTAGGCAACAGGGAGGGCACACAAAGTTACAGGATCAAGCAATGTTAGGCATTTGAAAAATTGTTATATTTGGATTGTGTAAGTCACATAAGTAATATTTACAATCGAATTATCTCCCCAGAAGACAGGCTAAACACATGATCTATAAATTAAATTGAGTCTTATGTTGTTACATTCTGTAAATCTATTACTAATTCTTCAAAATTAAATGAGTCTCGTAACCAAACTCTTTATAATGAAAACATACAAAGTTTATTTAATCTCTCTTCCGACATGGTATTTCTTAAAATTGTCTATAATCTTTTCGAAGTGAAAAAGATTCTTTTATATAGCACATCCAGCTCAGATTTCAGTTTTCTAGCTCACGAACGGAGAGTACTGTGAAACGCGATCAACCTTTTGTAGGTGGAAATTTTCTTGATATTGTTGGAACGTTTTACAATCAAAGAGAGAACACATGGCTAAATTCACCCTAAAATTAATATGGCCATTAACCCCTTTGAAATTTCCGTACAAAAGAACGATTGCCATTTCTATCAGATTGTAATTTTTTTATCAGGCCGTGGTGGCCCAATTCTCTTCATGCACAGCCTTGTGTCATAACCACATTGACTGTTTTCAGGCATTTTACAGAATTGGAAACCATTCCCAATCTCAATGCACAAAACGAACTGGACGCAAAGATCGGAATACAGCATTCACATAGTTTGTCTACGGATCGGAAAGATGATGCC